AAAGTTGCGTTTCAGAAAAAAAAACTTTTTCATTCTTTCTTCACAAACTTGTGCAATTCTTCTCTCTATCTCGGGTCAATAATATTATTTTTTTTTGACGTATTTCTTTTAGACAATAAAAAAATGCATATTGTTGGTTATGCATATGATTGAAAAAAAAAAAACTAAAAACAAAAAAACTTACTCTTTTTACATGTATTTTGATCAAATAAAAACGTTATTTGATCCATTGATGTATCAATAGATCATAAGCCAGCAAGTACAATGAATCTATACAACGATCCGCACTCCCCCTTCCCACAAAGTAATTACACTTACAGTAGCCCATTGGGCACTCTGAGTTCGATCCGATTTCAGGCCAAGTTCTTTGTGCGGAGTCGAAAAGGAAAGTTGAGGGTGAAAAACAACAGCGATTTACCTTCTCAATTATGTTTTCTGCAAGACTAGGCGTCGGTTGCTAACGAGCAAAACACTTACAAAAGAAATCTATTAAAAGCGAACTCTTCGTGGCAATGAACGGGGCACTGAGCGAGGGATGGCGACTGGCACCTCGGCAGGCACTTTCTTTTTGGGACCACGGCACATCTGTACTAATCTAAATGAAAAAGTAACAGTTCGAGTAATGCAAATGGCCACTATATAAATGTTCTAAGTCAAAAATTTCAATATCTAAACCAAAGAAAGGTAAAGCGTTACTTTTTCGTTCAAAATCTGAGGGAAAGATAAAATAATTAAATTTCTATTAAAAAAACTCACCGCAAGGATTGACTTTCCAAAATTTAAACCAGCAAAAGAGAAAAAGAGCAACTAGAAATCGGGAATAGAAAATAAAAATGAATGTTTGATCGAAGAAATGAGAGGTGACAGTAAAAATGACTGTCAAATGCAAATTTTTCTCATATGATGCCATGATTCCGCCGTTTTCCACTTGCTAAAAGCCTTTTTCACTTCTTCAAGCGCACTTTTTTTAAGACTTTATTCAATAAAACAATCTGTAATCTAAATCTGAGCACATAGGCATACCCTATCATATCACAAAACCCATTAAAAAATACATAGAATTTTCTAAAAAGATGGAATTTTTTCAAGAAACAAAGCTCAAAGATAAATGATTATACACAACGAATTTAAACTATACAAGTCGACAAAAAAGAAAAAGTAAATACAAAAAAAAATAAGGCTAACCTATATGACCAAATCAAAGTGGAATGTTACCATGCTTCCGTTTTGGATTCTTGAGCTTCTTCGACTCGAGTAAATTCAAATCCTCGCAGATTCGTCTTCTCGTAGTTGATGGCACAATGATGTCATCGACAAAGCCTCTGAATGGAAAACATTAGCAAAATAGATAAACTCGGTTTTTGTTTAAGATATGTAAAAGTTAATATATTTCTGTATGCCGCCTAAACGCCACCATTTGTTCATTTCAAATTGATTGCACCTTCGGGCGAGCACTTTTCTTGAGTCATTATTCAATGATCAATCAATTTTCGGGAGTTTCATGGTCCACCCACATCGTCGAGTGGGCCACCATCAAGATAATCTCCCAAAGTAAGAGATTCGTGTTATTTGCTTACATATTTTAAAACTAAAATTAACCTGACAGCCGCTGGGAAAGGATTCGAGAAAAGCTCAGTGTACTCAGCTTCGTGCTTCGCGTGATTGGCTTTGTCCTTGCGGAAGAGAATTTGAACGGCTCCCTGAAAACAAATAAGTTGAATCTACAGTAACAAAAGTAGTTCTAGTAGTAAAAACGAATAGCAAGAATTTATAATCAATTTTTGTTTACTTAAATTATTTTAAGCATATCCTCAAGTGTATAAGCTAAGAATTACCTTAGCTCCCATGACGGCAACTTCAGCTGTTGGCCAAGCGTAATTGCGGTCTCCTCTAAAAATTTTATCATTAAAAAGCTCCTAAGTAACAGCACCTCAAATGTTTGCTCGACATTACATCGTACGCACCACCATAAGCTTTTCTTGTGATAATCTAAAGAGTCATTTAAAGTTGAAAACCTCAACACTTTACCGTAATCTTGGGCACTGTAGCCTCAGCAAAAGCGTAGAGCAGTTTGGCTCCATGACGAATGATACCACCATATTCCTGAGCGGTTCCTAAACAAAAAAAAGTCGAATAACACATGAATTGTTTACCAGGCAAAAATCCGGGCACATCCACCAAAGTGATGATCGGAATGTTGAAGGCATCACAAAAACGAACAAATCGAGCTCCCTAAAAAATAAAAACAATAGTTCTCTTTTAGTTTTTCTTTTTTGCTTCTATATCATAATCAATTAGTACCTTTACTGAAGAATTGATATCAAGACAACCGGCCGCAAATTTCGGGTTATTTCCCACAATGCCCACACTTCGTCCATTCATTCGAGCAAATCCGATCGTGAGATTCTTCGCGTATTCAGGCATGATTTCAAAGAAATCACCTTCATCCACCTAAAGCAAAACACTTTATTAGTAATCTTACAGTAAAACAAACCAATGATGTGATTACATCTTTCATATTGTAAGCGGCTGTGCTTTCAAGAGGAACAACGGTATCAAGTGAGGGAACATCTCTGTAGCAAAAAGTAAAAATTGAAGCACGACTTGATAGCCTACCTATTCCATGAATCATCACACGCGCGAATTGGAGACGGATCCTTGTTTGAAAGTGGCAAGTAGTTGAAGAGCTCACGAAGTGACATCAATCCATCAACGTCGTTCTCAAAAGCACCATGAGCGACACCTAAAAACATGGTTTCTAACTTCAAATGTTTAAAGATTTAAAAATGTTATTCGGTTTAATGGCCGACTGGCGGAAGGTCGAGGGTTCAATCACGCTGGCAAGATAAAAATGTTTCTTTTTCCCACCAAGTGGGTTTTTTCTTTCACAACATTTGGGTATAGAAGTACTATGGGTAACGACGGCCACAGTGCCATAAAATTGTGTGTTTAGACCTTTATGTCTTATTATGTATCCTTTGTTTGTATCACATTATTGGTTATTTTTCAATAAATGTGTTTTTAAAGGTTCTGCTACAGCCAACAGGTCTTACAATTGCCAACTAACCCGATGTTACTGTGTGCGTTTTGGCTCCTCCCAGCTCTTCCTGTGTCACTTCTTCGTTTGTGACGGCTTTCACAACATCTGGTCCAGTGATGAAGAGATATGATGAGTCACGAATCTAATTAATTTTACTTTTAAAACTTGCAAAAGCAGTTACCATAAAAGTGAAATCTGTCAATGCAGGTGAATAGACGGCTCCACCAGCGCACGGACCCATGATCATCGAGATTTGAGGAACCACTCCAGAAGCGAGCACATTGCGCTAAAAGAAAAGTGTTATGTGCTATCCATTTAACTATCGTTACTTCAAAAATATCCGCATATCCAGCCAAAGATTCAACTCCTTCTTGGATTCGAGCACCGCCCGAGTCGTTCAATCCAATAACTGGGGCACCTAGAAAAAGATGTAAATAAAATTGCTTGCAAAATTTAAGACACTGACCAACTCGCATCGCTTCATCCATAATTTTGCAAACTTTCTTGGCATGAACGGATGAGAGGGAGCCGCCGAAAACAGTGAAATCCTAAGGAATAATATTCAAGAAACAATGTTAAAGCAATTTACTTGTGAAAAGACAAAGACGGTTCTTCCGGAAATTTCTCCACGTCCAGTTACCACCGAGTCACCAGCATACTAAATGAAAAGTACTTTGTTCAATTGTTTGTCTAACAAACCTTTTCTTTTTCCATTCCAAACTCGGTGCACGTGTGCTCTGCAAACATGTCGTACTCACGGAAAGTTCCTAAAAAGATATATTTGATTCAAAACCTAAATCTAACACTAACCTTTATCAAGCAGTAAATCGATTCGTTCGCGAGCCGTTAACTTTCCACGCTTGTGCTGGGCATCGATTCGAGCCTGACCACCACCAAGGAGAGCCTAAAATTATGGTTAAGTAGAATGTTAGATTGGTGATAGTCCGACTACTTTGCAAAAACTAACCGCTGCTCGTTTCGTCTCGATTTGTTCCGCAACACGAATGGTGTGCGAAATCGACGAGTTGGCCGCTGCCGAGGAGCACATTCGGAGATTCTAAAATATCAAATTAAATTTGAAAAGAGTTTCGATAATAGGTTCTTGAGATCACTTGACCACTTTAATAACTATGTACTTGCGGATAAAAGTCTTAAAAAAGTAAAACAAAAGCTCACCAATCTACTCCACGTGGCCAGGCCTGACCGAGCTAAACGTGAGACGTTCATCGTCTCCTAAAATTAATAAAAATTATTTGAAAAGCAAAGAAAAAATAAGAAGCACACAAAAATTTGACTGAACGATGGCACTTTTAAGTAGACTACGAGAAAAACCTATGGACCGGTGAGCGGGGTCAGTTTGTGTTTTAGAGAGAAAGGGAAGGGGATTTGACCGTAAAGAGTTGAACACGGGTGAACAAGGCTAAAAAGTCATGGCTTAAAATGTTAAGCTTCAAATTTAGTTGAAGAGCTGGGAAAGCAAGAGTGGAAAGCGGGAGAGAAGATGAATTGCATACTATTATAGTCTCAAAACACTAAATTAAATTCGGGAGTGGGACAAATGCGACCTTTTTTTTGCGCACCCGGACATTTTCCACAAGCTCTGATATGTCAAAATGTCGATTCTACGCCCTAAAATTACCTAGAAAAACAACTTTTGGAATAGAAATTGGTTAATATTAGCTTTTTAGAGCTTTTTTAAAACGCGAAAAAAGGTGCGCTAATGTCCGGGTGCGCAAAAAAAAGGTCGCATTTGTCCCACTCCCTTAAATTCCAGAAAATTACCACTTAACTGTCGTTAAAATATGACAAATCAAAACTTTATTTTATATCATTTTCTCGAATTTACTTAACGAACGGATTAAGAGGTGGTTTTTTTTCGACTTTAACTTTATTTAAGCCCTTGGTATTGTTGAATTTGAACAATTTTGTTATTTTCAAATCGATAACCTATCTGAAAACGATGTGGAAGATGAAAAGTCGGTTTTGTTTTAGAATTTTGCATTAATTTCCTTTTAGTGACCGGGTTTTTCGACAATCAAATCGAGAAATCGCAAACGCCACAATCGTCAGGCGAATCGGAAAGTGGAAAATCGACCGACCCACCACCGAACAATTTCGGGAAACAACCAAGTCAGTTTTTTTTGTCTTTTTTTTGCAGATTCTGGATCTTTCCTTGATAGCGTCATTAGTCTTTAAGGTACAAAATTCTGTAAGCTGATGAAATGCCACCAGTTTTGTTTAATTTTTCAATTTTAGGGGGAGACAAGCGACACCCCAGTCAACAGCGAAAGTCAGCAAGGAATGGAGAAAGTGAGAAATTCCGCTCGAACACGATTGTGGAAACAGAAACGAAGTAGTTTGTTTGTTTCATGGAAAGTTCAATCACTTCTGTAGATACCGAGTACTGCACATTCTCGGCTCCGGTGGATTCGGTGACGTCTACAAAGTGTGACAGAAAAGAATAAATTTGGTAGGATTTCAACTCTCGATTCTGTAATATCTTTTTTCAGGAAGCTGAAGAAGGTTCGCCGAGGAGAAGAAGATCAACATGAACGAGCCGTTGAATTGGATTGGAAAGATTCGCTCGGAGCACATAAAACGAGTGGAGAAGAAGAAAGAGCAGGACAAGCAGAAGGTGCCCGTTGAACCGGAACAAGTACCCGAACCCGAGGAGCCACAGGAGGAACACGATCCGTACAAGTGAGTGGTTTTATCTAGTCATTGCTAGAAATTATATTAGGCTGTTTAAATCTCAAATTTTCTGGAGAACTAGTATTCTTTTTTATATGTTAAAAAGTTCTCTTACTCAACTTTGCACAAAAGCAAAAGGTAGAAAGAGTAAAACGGTGAAGAAACGATGAGCGAAAAGGGAAATTAAAAAATTTGTTTTGTATATTTGGACATTATAATCTCGCAATTGTTTTTATTGTGGTCGACTTTTGAAATAAATATTTGATGCTACGGGACGACAAACGCCCGGTTTTCTCGATTATTCACCCACCTTGTGAAGAGGTGTGAAAGAGAGTGATTCATCAGATTCGATTAGGGAGAAATCGATAAGATTGCAATTGTAGAAGCTAATGGAAATGTTCGATACAAGAACAGTCCTTGGAATTCTTATTCTATTTGCTACAGTACTTTAAGACCTGAGTTCGGGTAGATTTTTCTACTGTAATCCAGATTACGGTAAGGTAATACTTTGGGATCTATTAGGTGTGTGAAAAAGTAATCCACGTTTTTTATTTTTATCTGATGACCAAATAAGACGCTGTCTTCTCGAAAACCCTCGTTCAACCTCTTCAGAAATAGGCTTTACATTAAATTGTGATGGGTCAACCGTAAGGAAACGCTTGAATGCCATGAATTTTATCAAAAAGTTGGACAAATGGATACCGCATGAACGATAACGCGCGACCACATGTCTCTTTACAGACTCGACAAAAAATCCAGAGTATTGGATGAGAGGTTTTACCACATCCACCTTATAGTCCAGATCTTTCTCCATCTGATTATTATTTATTTTTGTCTCTGTCTAACTTTTTGGCCAATAAATGGTTCAATTCCAAAGAAGATGTCAAAACCGAGGTTGATCTTTTCTTCGCCTCTAAGGACCAAGATTTTTATTATCATAGAATGTCTTTACTTGTAGAACGTTGGCAAAAGGTTGTTCTTTCGAATGGTGATTACTTCGTTGAATAGAAATTATTTTAACGAAACTTATGGTCTTTTATATTTAAACGTTAAAAACGTGGATTACTTTTTCACACACCTAATAGATTACGGTAGCTTTTTCTGAAGTGCGCTTTGCATCACAGAGTCTACTGTTATATGATTGATGTTTCAAGGCTTTCTTTTGATACTTTTCCAGCTCCCAAAATCAACTTTGTAAATCCTGTTGTTTCTTGTGCATATTCTTGTGCAAAAACATTCAAAGATATTTCCTTGTTTTGAAACCAAACCACCGTGTGTATCTTGTGTTGAATTGATACAAGAAGGGAAAGGGTTGGGTCTTTCTGGTGAGTGGGGGGGGAGTTCCTCGTAGCAAAAGAGACAAGAAACAAAGCGCATATTCATACCACAAAACAAATATACCAATGCGATGGAAAAGAATATAGAAGAGATTGAGTTGAGAAAAGAGAAGGGGAAATGAGCGAGTGATTGGGAAGAGTTGCGGGTTGTCAGAGAAAGGAAAAGAGTGGGAGTTAATCAGAAAAGAAATTCGAGATTGAAAATTAGCGTCTGAAGCATTTTTTACATTACCTTTCTATGCTATAGTTAGCTTCAACTACTTTTATCCATAGAAATGAGACGGCCTTCTCTATAATGCGATTCTACTTATCGGGCGTACTGTGGGCTTCTTTGTAATGAATCTTTATACCGTAAACTATAAGAAACGTTGAGAAGAATTCTAGATTTTATTGTCATCGGCCTTTGATCCTGGTTGAAAGATCCCTGATTCAAAATTTCGAATTCAATTCGAAAGATCCCTGATTCCCTTTCTCACCAAACTGAGATTTATAGTTAGAATTGAAAGGCTAGTCAGACTCAGGGACTTCTAGCAAAACAATCCTTTTTTAGTTCGAAGAAACGTACTTTATAAAACTCTCTATAATTGTGTTAGAAAAAGAAGCTAAAAATGTTCGATTTTCATCTAGAATTGATTCTGTTAGAGAAAAATGAAAGAGAAATAGTATAAAGTTAGACGAAAAAGTGAAAGAAAGCTAGAGATTGAGTGTTTAAAGAAGGGGTAGAGGGGTGGGAGAGGGAGGGGAGAGAAAGGGAGATGGTTGTCCCCTCCCCTCCCCAGTCGCCCCTTCAACCTTTCCACAGATTCAACAGTCTCTGCCGGTCTTTCTCCAGTCTCATATTGTTCTTTTTGCTTCTACTCTTCACCCATCCATTTAGATTCTTTTTTCCCTTGTATCTCCCACATCTCTTCAGCCATTCATTCTGCGTGTGTGTTTTTTGAGGGCTTCCCACTTTGTTCCCATGCTTCTACTTTTTGTTCAGCTCAATTCCTGACAATTGGTCGATTATCATAAGCTTCTATCGATTATCATAAGCTCTAATTCACTTCTACCGATACATTACCTACTGATACGTTAGGATTTATCATCTTTTTAATGCTAAAACAATTTGTGACAATTTCTTATACAATAAAAATGTCAACATTGTAGTTTTTGTTTTAACTTCAATCATTGAATTTAAACTTCGGTGATCGGTTGAACTGTTACCCATATTTCATAAGAATTTATACAAAATCGAAGCGCTGCTTGGTTTACAATAAGATATTCCAACTTTAAGCTTATTGACAGTCAGATTTTCAGGGTAAACTTTTTACTTTTCGTGTACAAAATTTTTGTTACTATGATGTTTTTGAGCCGGAAACAATCCTCCACACTCGTTCACTCAAAAATATTGTGTGCTCATATCTGTTTTATCTATTTTATCACTCAATTTCCCCTCACAAATTGTCGATGTTTGTCCATTTGGTGTTTAGATTCGAAAATCCTGAGCTCATTTCCCAAAGTGGTACGTCAAAAGGTGTGCGTTTCTGTACCAAAAAGAAAAAGAATGAAAAACTATTTCCTTTTCAAGGCCTGATGTAATTTTTCAGATCATTGCGAAAAAAAAAAATTTTTTTTGCTTAAAATTCTTGGATTTTTCGGGGTGAAGGAGATTTGTTTGCTGACATTGCCCGTTTTGAAAATGAAAAGTTTGAAAAGGGACTGTCAAACTACTGAATGGCATAAAATAGTTTTTGATTTGTTGAGTGTTGTCGTTAGTTCAAAAATGAAATTTCTTGTTTAGTGGTGTCATTTACGCGTTAATCGATGCACTTGAGTCATCACGAATATTAGCTTTTTTTTGACAAGAATTCTTATTCTTACGTTTCCTAAAAAATTGATGTACAAGTTAATGTAAAAATCTAGATTACAATGTTTTTTTGAAACAAATCCATTGATTCCGAAAATCCTGAAACTTTTCGATTAGCATATTCATCTGATCAATTTTTCTATTAGCAAAATATCTTTTGCTTTGCTCACAAAATTCTTTATACGGATTGATGTGTCAAAATCAATTCCATGACAAACCCCACCTTCAGACTTTTTATTTCGGCTGATTCGGATGGAATTTCCTCCGCCTTCTCTTTCTCTGATAAGAACCGGGGTCTAAATTTTTTAAAAAAAAAGCATTTAGGCTCGTCAAAAAGGAAAATAATCGCATCACAAAAACCTTTGTCGGAAAGGAATCAGCCAAATTCTCTGAAAATTTCTATTCAATGGAACCATCAAGTTCGACGGATAATGGAAAGAAATCGTCAATCGGGAATTTGTCGGCAAATCTCACTGGCGGAATGGGTTATCAGAATTTCCAAGACGTGCCAAGGTTAAAGCTGGTCGTTGTTGGCGATTCGTATACCGGGAAAACGAGGTGGGTAAATTTAAGAACACATCGAAACAAGTACGGTAAGGCTTTTTGATATTTTGTAGCTTATGGTTAGGTAAATATGAAGTCTTTCAACATATTTGTTTATCTTTTTTTTCTAACTCTTTATTGTTTACTCTAAATATTTTCTCAAAAACTAAACGATTTCAATGTTTTCCTTTCTCATCTCCTCACACGATTCCATATCAAAATCGATAGCCGATTTGAATACATTATGACTAGAGGATTTTAGCTAAAGGAAAAAAGAGGAAACAGAAAATGGGGTGAATAATGGGGACGATGATGTGTATATTATAAGGGAAATGGAGGAAAGCTATAAAGGAAAAGGTAGAGAATATAGAAATCTAAGCATCTGCTTTGATTTTTCGCATTTGAGGGACTTTCTACAGTGGTGGAAAAAAGTATTGAGCCTCTATCGAAAAAAGAATTCAATGTTTTGTTGGACCACCTCGAGCTTTAATGATTACATCCATTCGTCTCATACGTTCGATCGCATACGTTCGATCCAGTCGTTGAGACTAAACATTGGAATTCCATTCCAAATCTCTTGAACTTTATCCTTTGAGAGAAAGGGATGCCCGCTCCAATTTCGTTTCACGTGCGCCCATAAATGCTCAATAGGATTGAAATCAGGAGAATAAGGTGGAGTTTAAAGCAGATAAACGTTATTAATGCGAAACCAGCCAGACGAACAAAACGACGATTTGATATCTTTCCTTTTCGGCTCATCATCAAACCGCTTGCGTGTTTTGAGTCGTTGTCTTGTTGAAAGAGCCACGCCAGGCCCATATTTGTACTAGCGTGAGGAAGCATTGATTCCGTTAATATTTAAGCATATTTGAGTCGATTCATAATTCCGCTGATAAGAACGAGAGGCCCGATCGATTGAGATGAGAAACATCCCCAACACATTATGCTCCACCATTAAATTTCACGGTCGGAATGATGTACTTCAACTTGTATCGTGTTCCAATCGGTCTTTTGATTACATGGAAGCCATTTAAATTGAAAATATTGAATTTTGTTTTGTCGCTGAAAAGCATGTGCATCCAAGTCTCAATTGCCCGATGTTGATGCTCCAAAGCGAAGCGAACAACCATTCGATGCCATTGAATCACTAACGACTGGCCTTCTCGAGTATAATCCAAACGTTTTAAGTCGGCTCCTCACTGTTCTGCTACGTTGACGTTAAA